TTTATTGAAATCAACAATAATAATCATTAATATTAAAAAAATATTTTTTATATTTTTGTTTTTTTAAAAAAAATATCATTAATATTAAAAAAATTATTTTTTATATTATAAATTTTTTTCAATAATTTTTGTAAAAATAAAGAATAAATTCATCACGCGTTCATCCAAACAGTGTTTTCTGTAGCCAAATAATTCTTGAAATTATAGTCAAAGTAAAAGTATTTCCAACGGCGACAAATTGTAGCCATAAGAGGCATGGCTAAATGCAGGGCGTTCGTCATCCTCAAATCCAGCTATTGCTTAAAAAAACTGGGCTGGCTGAGTAATTAAATGTGGGCCAGCTGGATCTGCACTACTAGCTAGAAACAATTTAGCCTGGGGTAAATAAATTAAAAAGAGGTTCTTGTCCCTTTCACCAACCAACCAAAGACAAGATGCACCGCTTTCCAGTCAAGCCACTGTAGTCTTTCCATTTTTAAATGGAAATAATAAAGAGTAAATATAATGTCATTCGTTATAATTTTCGGGTTGATTATGAAGTAACATTTTATTGATAGTTATTTTTTAGATATATTTTAAAGAAAAAATCCTTTATTTTTTTTCAAGTATGTGGTATTTCTTTTTTTAATTTAAGTTTTCTTTATTAATTGCCAACGGATAATAGATTCGCTGGCAAATGAGACTATGTTTTGTTATCATTGCCATAGATGATGAAGAAGAAAATAACAGAGATAAAAAAATATCTATTTCAGTACATATATTTATTTTAAAATTTATTAAAAAATAATTTAATTTAAAAATTCAAGTTGTTAAATAAAATTTTAGTATATACTTTATATTATTTTTTAACATACTTATTTAAGTAAAAACATTCTAGCTTTAAACTTACATAGATTAATACCATTAATTTTTATTAAATAAATATAATGAAGATATTTAAATGTGTAATTATTTGATTATTAAAGTTTTGATATTATATTAAAAAATTAATTTAATTTAAAATTTAAAATTATTAAATAAAATTATTAAAATATAATTTATATTATTATTTATCAATTATATCTGTTTTTATTTCTCAAACAAAACAAGTTTTTGTCTTTTTTTTTCCCCGTACCAAACTCAACCTAAAGGCCCTGAAATGTGAAGATTTCATGTATTTACTGAATTGGACCACCAAGTCAAGTCTAGGACGACAAGGATTAGGTGGTAGACTGAGGAAGGTAGGCCCATGGGTCATCAAAGGAACACGACTAAGGCCATTTCTTCGGTGAAAAAACTTGTGGTGGTGGGACAGTTCTCCGAGCAGCTGTCCGCCTCCTTAAGCTCGGGGTTCACATCACAAGCTCAGGAGACATGTCATGGGCAGGGATTTTTATCGGGTTAATTATTTTTAATTTCATTTATTTTTTATTTAAAAAAATTAAAATTAATTTTAATTGATTTAACTTAATTTTTTTAGAATAAAAATTTATTTAAACTGGTTTGATTCAATTTTAATTTAGCTTGATTTTAACTTGATTTTTTCTGATTTATTTTTATTTTTTCTTTTAACTCGGTTTTTTCAGGTTTTTTTAGTTTGAGTTTAGTTCATTTTTTTGATTTTAAAATTATAAAATCAAAATTAAATTTAACATGTTGATTTTTTTAAATTTTAATTTGTTTAATTATTTTTTTTCATGTTTTAATTTTTTAAATTATTTTTTAATTTTATTGATTTAATTGATTTTTCAATTTATTCTCACTCTTAGTTTCTATTTCCAAACCATCCATGATTTAGAAAGGTAGTTGCGATTGTTTTTTAAAGTATTTATCTTTAGAAATATATCAAAATAATATTTTTTATTTTTTTTAAAATTATTTTTGATATAAAAAATATTAATTTGAAATAAAAAATAATTTTTTTTAAAATATAAAACAAAAGATATTATACTTAAAAAGAAACCTCCGCTAGTACATGGATGACATCTGGCCTGGAGGGAGGAGGAGATTATCGGGGAGCATTTTTCTTTCTTGGCTCTAAGGATTCGTTTGAAAAAATTGCAACTTTTTACTGTAGTTTTTGCCATGCTTGTTGCTGATAGTTGTTTTTGTCATAATTGTAAACAAAACTGTGTTCAGTAATTTTGTTTTTGTTGAAATACTTTTATGTTCTAATATTTTTAAAAGTTCAAAAGTATCGTCCTGTAACTTCCCTTTTTTTTGAATTTCTAAATGTTTTTTCAAAATAAATTTTACAATTTATCAAACCTCTTTTTCATTGGTTAAAATAAAAAAACTATAAAAGGTAAAGATTTTTTTAAAAAAAAACAGATGTGCACTATATTTTTAAAATATTTGTTTTTTAAAAATATATAAAAATAATATATTTTTATATTTTTAATATTAACATATTAAAAAATAAAAAAATAATTTATCTTTTATTAATTTTTTTTTTAAAAATATACTTCAACCACACTCCTAAACAATATCTTAAATATTTGATATTATAATATAATTTACTTTTCATTTAAAAATACATTAAATAATTTTTTTAAATTAAAACATCATAACTATAAAAATTATTAAAAAGCTTTTAATTTAACACATACACACACACACTTTTAAAGTATACACAATATTTTTTTTTAAACAACCGGTGGCAAGTAGATTTGCATCTATTTTTCGATGAATGCGGTTGTTATCTTGGTACCAAAATACCCTTATCATTTATCAAAAATAAAAATAAAAATAAAAAAATATAAAAATCGACGTGGCAGGCACTAGAGGTCTCCTGAGAATGGGATGAAGACAAAACACAACATCGACAACTACATTTCGGACAAGGAGTTATTAAGACGGCGTTATTGCAATAACAGCAAGCCACTGTTTTTAATACCCCACGAACTAAGAGATCTGCATTATCTCCTACATAGTTCTTAACTATAAGATCTCTCTGTTTTCCAACTTTGTTCTCTGATCTCTCTCTCTCTGTATTAGTACTGTAAGTCCATCTCTCTTATTCTTCTACATTTCTGTTTTCATGTTTGCTCAATCATGATCCCTCGCTAAGATTTCATTAAAAAAACTTTTACTTTGGGTTTTATTAAGAGAGATTTTGAACCTCTTTTTTCTGTTTTTCTTATAGACTGCAACTTTCTGGGTTTAACAGTTTGTTTTGGGAGATCATGTAATTCATCTGATCTTCCTCTTAGTTTACAATTTTTAAAAATGATTTATAAATTTGGGGTTTCTTAAATTTTCACTATTTTCTTCATTCCATGACAAAAAATGTGCTTACTTTCTTCTCATTTATCTCCGAGAAAGTTCAAATTTCGTGCACTGGTCTGTAAATTTTATAACTGGAGATGTTTTCTATATTTTAGACTCTTCCAATGCTTTGAAGAATTAACAGTGGAGTCATAAAATTTTGATCTGCATGTTAGTGCATGTAAAATATAAAATGCAGGTTCAGGGGGGCATATTAGTTTAGTTTCTCAATTAAGTAAATATAATATTCTGCTGCTTATGTGGATGATTGCTAGGGAATTTTCATAAATGCTCTATGTGCAAGACAAGATGGATGGCATGATTGTTTAAAAAATTAATCCTTAGCCATTCATCGCTTATGTTAATCGGTCTTTGAGAAAATTGTTTTTCTTCAGTTATGATCAATTGACATGATCCTTAACTTTGATTCTGCAATTAAACAGCTGTTTAGTTTTAAAGTCATGTCATTAATATTGTCATTCTACTTGATCATGTTTGGCCATACTACGTTGCCAAGAACAATATCTTATTTTTACCATATAAGCACAAACGAGCCTCTGCGTCTTCTATGCACGTGACTTCTTCCCAGATAGTCCATTCATTATGCTCTATTGAACATTGTATTATATTGTAAACATTGTTGGTTTAGTGTTGATGAGAACATTGGTGGGAAATAAAAACTAAGAACACACAAGAAAACTCATCATCAAAAGAAGTTTCTCTTGAAAACACACTCAATTTTTTTACTTTACCCAGAAATAGAATCCAAAATAAGTTGGTTAATGTGTAATTTTTGAGGATGTTTAAATAAGACAAGCCAGCAGAACCAATTTTCATATTTATTTTGAGGTAGTCACACTGCTGCTAGCATTTTCCTGTACCAGTTGGAACAATGATTTTGCTTGGAGAGTTTACTAGCACCAATAAACTGTCATATGGAGTTATTCCGCTGAAAAAGTGTGAAATATTGTATTCTACAGAAATGTCTTTTACTATCCTGTTCATTTTGTAGGAGAGTTATCATGATCATTATGTGTTACAATTAAGGGCTCATTGTACTTTAATTTAAGTTGCAGTAATATATCCATTTCAATTTGGAAAATTTCGAAGGTTTCAAGGACAATTGGAGGCATTGGTGGATTTTAAGTTTGTTTTGGCTCTAAGAGGCATTGGTAGTTTTTAGTTTGTTTTGGCACTATCTGTCACTTCTTTAGACAAGCGTGGTTCTTTGAAAGCTCTCGCAACAATGAGTTTTGTGTTTCGAGGCTCGAGAGGAGATATTGAAAGTGGATTTTCAGGCTTCATTCCTGAAAGACCTGCAGTGGTATGTTTACTTGATTGCATGTATGCTTTTGGGTTCTTGTATTTTGCTGCTGAGATAAGATATTTATACATGCAATAAGAAAGATTCAATTTGACTAACCTTATCCTCTTCCTATCAGCGTATTCATGCAGCTCGACCAGTTAACTCCAATTCACTTGCTTTTCTTGTCACGGGTAATGTTCTTACCTCTTTGGTCTATTGTTATTCCATCTTATTGATACACATCTTTAACTTCACCTTAGTAAAAATCATTTTTAACCCAAATCTGACCTGTTCATTCAGCAGTTCTTTTGCTGTTCATGATTTTGAACTCTCATCAGATGTCACCAAACTTCCTGGTATGCCCTCATTGAGCTAGAGGCATGGGCCTTACTGGTGTTTCTGATATATCTGAAATATTAACAGAGAATTCACTGGTCCTGTCTATCTATGCTTGCAGCTTTGGCTGGTTGTGGGTGTCTTTTTGATGGCCACAAGCTTGAGAATGTATGCAACTTGTCAACAACTTCAAGCTCAGGCACGAGCTCATGCTGCAGCAGCCAGTGGCTTGATGGGTCATACTGAACTCCGTTTGCATATGCCGCCATCAATAGCTTTTGCAACAAGAGGACGGTTGCAGGGACTAAGGCTCCAGCTTGCTCTTCTTGACCGTGAATTTGATGATTTAGGTATGACGCTTTCTATGATGTGTACTTCCATATATAAGGTTTTGTAATCTCCTGAAAGTTGGAGATGCACCTGGAGATGTTCAAGACAAAACTAGGTCTGTGATTTTGTTGCTGTATGTACTTTGAATGTGCACATGCTGATGGTTATCCTTCCCTTCTGTGGCAGATTATGATACTCTTAGAGCACTGGACTCCGGTAATGCTTCTACTACCTCAATGACCGAGGAAGAGATAAATGCCTTGCCAGTTCACAAGTATAAGGTCCCTGTTCAGGAGAAGTAAGTTGGCATGCTTTGCATTAATCCTTGCCCCCTGAACACTTGCAGGGTTTTTGACATGATTTCCATTTTGTCATTGACAGTGGTAATGCATCTCTGCAGCATGCTTCATCTTCTTCAGCTCCAGCTGAGGTACATTTTTTGCACCGAAGTTCAGTTTCACAGTCAATGTAAATGCGTTCTGATGAGTCATTATGGTTGATCATTCATGAGTCATTATGGTTGATCATTCATTTAGCTTGCACGGTGATCATATTTGTGAATCTCTAATAACGTACCAAGAGGACAGATGAAAGAACATAAAACTTCATAGATAAACAAGCATTCGTTTGCTGCTTCTCATTTATTAATTCTCATTGAATAATTTTAAGTTGCCTTTTGCGGAATGCCATTTTGGTTCAGTTCTGATGATATATTTGTGTTGTGTTTGGTCAAAAGCATATGGTGTGTTCCTTCCCTGAGCTGCAGCAGACATGAGGGGAATAGGATTGAGTCACTGAGGGTTAATCTATGGAAACTTAATCTTGACTTCTACATAAAATTGGTAGTTCAGTTTAAGAACATTGAAAGCAGAGGAATATATAAAGTGCTAAAGAACTTGATCCAAAATTGTGATGAGCTATCTTGCCATCTTAGTCTTTGGATCAACATCATGAATAATCAAATGGACCACAGTGAAAGTCAAATCACTGCTTTTAATGGTCAACCTGCATTGCATTAAAATATTCCTTTCCCAATGACAGGAGTTCTGGATTTGACCTGAAACAAGTGATCCAACTTTTCCATGTGCATTGTAGTTCATCACTTTTTGTTATTTGATTACTGAGCAACAGAATAACTTTAGGCTGTAGACCGAACAACTCATTAATGTATGGTTTTCATGCTTGTGGAGTTAAAAAGCATTCTTAATAGTTATTCTGTTCACTTCTATGGATGTCAATTAGAATCTTGCTTTTGATTTTACAAGCAGACAAAGCAAGCCTCGAAAAATGCAGATGGGAACATGAAAACTTCAGAAGATGAATTGACTTGCACTATTTGTTTGGAGCAAGTTAACAGGGGGGAGCTAGTTCGTAGCTTGCCATGTTTGCACCAGGTTTTTCCTCTGGCTCCCAAGTCCCATCATTGTCTGCCGAAAATTTTAGACTTCATTCAACAACTTATATTTTCTACTGTCCTTTTAATTATTTGAGGTCTCACATGCTTTACATGAATCACCTGTGAATCTGGCATACTCACCCTCCCTCCCTTACCAAATCTATGACTATAACTGACTTAAAAATAAGTTATTTGTTTTTAATTGCTGACTTACAGGCTAGCCCAACCGCAACTTTTTTATATTCGATGCTATTTTGGGTTATTATCTTGGAAGAATTTCTGAAACTATTATGATATATCAGTCTAATTGTCTTTAAATTGAAGTTTGATCTTTAAATTTGCACAGTTTTTATCCCATTAACCCATCTTTTAGCTTGCTATGGATGTCTTCAATGACCTGCATTTGTCTATTCTTTGAATATATATATATATATATATATATATATATATATATATATATATATATATATATATATATATATATATATATATATATATATATATATATGTATATATATAACTAGAAAGCCATCGAGAAAATGGCAAATCACACCAAAGTTAGGACAAGGAAAACCTAAAAACCACAGATGAAACCAAACTTGCATCAGAACCAAGCAACTAAGTCATCTGATCTGCTTACGCTGTCTTTTGCTAATGAATAAGCAACAACATTGCCTTGCATTATAATGTGAGTTAACCAGATATTCTTCAAAGTTTTAGCTAAAGTTGCTATTCTTTGAAAATCCTTACTGAATACAAAAAATCTATGCTGAGAGTTTTGTTACCATTGCCTTTGTGACTCGTATTCTCTCACTGAGTCTCGGTGTAACTTCTTCAATGGTTGCTGTATGGTTAACTAACCCTGAACCAAATGTTTTAAATATCTTCTGGTGGTAAATGCTTGGCATATTAAGTCATTAACAAGCATTCCATTTAACTTGGATGCTGTATTGTTGACTTTAAATCCATGTTGGTTTTCTCCTTGTTTGCAGTTTCATACCAACTGTATCGATCCATGGCTGCGGCAACAAGGCACATGCCCTGTGTGTAAATTTCTGATTGGTTCCGGATGGCAGGAAAGCAGAGAGAGTGAATCTGATGGGTCAGACATGGTTTAATGATTGCCCAAGAAAATTGGTGTATCTGTGTAGGAAAACTTTTCTCATGTCTCAATCTGTGATTGCATGAAAATGAATCTCTCTTATGCCTGTGTAAATAATTTATAGGATGGGCTTTTATCTAACCTTTGCTTGATCAGAGGGAAATTTAGCTTGTATTGCTTCCTCATTCTTAGCTCTGCATATTATGGATCAGAAAGAAGCAAAAAGCAACTGTTGAGCATTGATCTGAAAGCAAAAGAAAAGTTGTGACGCGGTCAGCCCTGTTGAGCATGGCTGATGGCGATGTTCCTGCTCGGGCGTGATGCATTATGAATCCAACCTATCTGTAATATAAAACGTTTGTGAAAGTTACATTGCTCAAAACTTTGTCAATCTCAAAGCCCATCATTGGACAGTCCACATCACAAAAGCCTAGACCCGGTGCTAAACTCAAGGTTGCCCCACAGCCTACACTGTGCCGGGTGGCGGGGACCGATGACTGTGTTTTACTGTTTCATGTTCATGCCATTAAGCATGTACACACGAGTTTCCTTCAATCAGTTTAGAAATACAAAGAGGCTAAAGAAAATCTCTGGCTGCCCCACGGTTTGAAAATGCTGTTGGATCTGCGTGTTTTGTTTCGTTGTTGTTGTGGAATGCAAGGCTGACCTCTCTTCTTCCTTGTGTTTCGCGAGTAGATATGGTTATTAACCAGAGTTGTTCTTAGCTAAAAAAATGTGGGAGCCCTTCACGTGACCTCAATAAAAAAATTATCCTAATAAACCCTTCATTTGGCTAGAAACCTGATTTTGACCGACGGAATTAGTCTGCATTGTTGCTGGCACGTAATTTTTAGTCCAAAGACTAATGATGCTCCGACCAATAATTCAAGGGATTATGTACAATTTATCCTTATTTTTTTAATGAATTATTGGTGTAAGACTTGCTAAACATTGGACCAAGAAGTGATAACATATATAAAAGCAATTAAAGAAAATGGAGTGACCATTTAACTATATATCCAACGATCAGCCTCAAGCAATTCATCACAACCGTATGTCATTCAATTAAATTAGTACTAATTACAAATTAATATTCTTATATTTCTTCGATAACTAAGTATTGACTATTATACATGCCTCGAACTCCCATCAAGAGTGAAGTACAACATGCATATGTATTCGAGATTGGAAGTCCTTTGATTTATTTGGTGTGTAGTACATCAGGCAAAGCTGTACTACAGATGAATGGAGCAGAAGCATGAGATCATCCACCTGCTTGTATTTAATTATTCCGTTTGATTCATTCTCATTGTATACAGATAACATTATATATATGTGATATTTTTTTCACCTTTTTTTTTGGATGAAATAATATTTTTCGCTTAAAAATGAAAAAAAGTCGTGTAATATATGATATATATATGGGGCCGGATGAAAGTAATCATGCAAAATCAGATCAAGAAAGTTGATCATACATCCACTCAATTAATTCATGGCTAAATATTTCATGCCTTGTTTGAAAACTCCCGAGTCAACCTCTTTGTTGATCTCTCTGATATTGATCCTGCAATTCTCTTTAATCAGTAGCCACGGAGGTCATGATGGAAACGACAGCAGCGAGGGTAACGTACATTTGCATTCGAAAAGCTTGATTCTGGTGAAAGTATGGTGTTTGATCATACTGCTAGTTACCACATTCGCAGGTGGTATCTCTCCCTACTTCTATCGATGGAGCGAGAATTTCCTTCTGTTGGGCACACAATTTGCCGGAGGGGTTTTTCTAGGGACCTCTCTCATGCATTTCTTGAGCGATTCGGCTGATACTCTTAGCAATCTCACTACCAAGACATACCCTTTCTCGTTCATGCTAGCCTCTGCTGGCTATCTTTTAACCATGCTTGGCGATTGCATAGTGATGTTCGTAACAAGGTCAGGTGGTGAAAGAGAAGCTAGAGTGCAAGTGGATGAAGGAGGGGCAGCTCAGGAGGATGATCATAAAGATGTGGCCATGAATGCCGATCCCATTTTCTTGAAGACCACGTCTCTTGGGGACACCATACTACTCATCCTTGCCTTGTGTTTTCATTCAGTTTTTGAGGGAATAGCCGTTGGAGTTGCAGGTAATTAAATCTCTTTAAATTGATTTTTCAGTTCATAGTTAGCCCAAACACATGTTTCTTCATCCATGCTGCTTTTTCTTAATTGGTTAGTTTCTTTCATTGCAATGAAACCGCATGAGATGCATGAAGGTATCATCTGGGTTTGGTTACTGGATAATTAGTCAAGTCACTTTATTTCTACAAAACTAGAGATTTTGGGGTCCCCTCGACTGCTATAACAATTGTCAAAGGGATATGGCAATGAAATTCCACTGGTTCATTAATTGTAGTTATATATCTTTTGGCAACTTCTATATTTAGTAAAGCTAGCTAATAGGAAAGTTATTAATCAATCAATCTGGATTTGTTAGCTTGATTAGTTTTGGTAACTTCTATGATAGTTTATCAATCTGAATCCCAGCTCCTTATGTTATGATGTGGTTAATTCTAATAAAGATTTGACAATGAGTTCTTTTAAGGTTAGGATTGGTTTGACCTAGCTAGTAATGGAGATCATTGTGACTATTTTTTTTCCCATTAGGATTAAAACATATTCCTGCAGTAAATATGTGCTTTGGTTTATTTTCTAGCGTGTCAAATTGTGAGATTTTGTGAGCTATTATTGATTTTGACTATAGTAAAGTTTCTTCTCTTTACTTGTGGACGTAGACACATAGCCGGATCGCGTAAAATCACTATGTTAATTATATTGTTATCTCTTTTCTGTGAGTTTGTTGTGATATTCTTTATATTTATGTATGCGATGCTTAACACCTTCTAATAATTTCTTCTTGTAGTTGAGCTTATACAGTCATAAGAGCTAAATATGTTAGCAAGCATAGGCAGTTGCCTTCATCAATTCATAACTGTAACTATATGTAAGGGTTATCAATGATCTATGCATTGCTTCATTGTTAGCTCCAATACACTTATGCAATGGATGAGTATTACTCAGTGTACACACACACAGGTGCTTTTTATATTTAGTGATAGCTGATAACGCATAATTTGACAAGCACATAGAAATCTTGTTAATGGTACTTGTTATTAGCTTGAGTAGCTAGGGTCGAGTTGCAAAATTTAGGGAGGGAGTTTTCTTGTTTAATGTTAACACCTCAGTGTTATCATGTGTTTAATTTTTGCTTTAGGGACCAAGGGAGAGGCATGGAGGAATCTTTGGACTATATCATTGCACAAAATCTTTGCAGCCATTGGAATGGGAATCGCTCTGCTTAGGATGCTCCCAAAGAGGCCATTTCTATTAACCGCGGCATATTCTTTTGCTTTTGCTATTTCCAGCCCCATTGGAGTAGGGATAGGCATTGCCATTGATGCCACTGCTCAAGGCCAAGATGCTGATTGGATCTTTGGTATCTCTATGGGACTTGCATGTGGAGTTTTTATCTACGTTGCCATCAACCATCTCATAGCTAAAGGATTCCATCCACAAGCTAAATTGTACTTCGACACTCCATTCTTCAAGTTTGTTGCTGTGTTCCTTGGGGTGGGAGTTATTGCAGTTGTTATGATTTGGGATTGATTAAAATAATTCTGCTTAATGTCCATGTAGACATATGAAAAAAATATATATGTGGCTGCAGACTGGGAGTTCGTCTTTCCTTTGTCTGTAGTCACAACGTTAATTAAACACAACATTCTAATTACTTCAGGCAATTCCTGTATATGATTTTTCCACTGCAGAACTTAAAATTCACTAAGATTTTAAGCATACATTAGTGTTTTTGGTTGATACATTATAGTGGTCAGGGCTTTATCATGTGATTCGCATAAAATGGATGCCTCAATTCTCCCATGCATATATATGCGCCAAAAGCTTAAAACGTTACTGATCTGATGAACTTTCCATCTTTTGATTTACTGAATAAAAATTGACTAACAAGCTTGGACACATAACTAAATAATGTCTTGCTTATAGATATAGAAATGTGGAGATAGGATTACCCTACAAGGAGCTAGCGTAGTTGGTGCACCTACAAACTCGAATTCATTATATATGTTGTAAACTGATACACAAGTAAAATCTTTCACACACCTCGACTGTTAACTCCTACATGATATATATTAGTTACTTCTGATTCGATATAATTGTAACTTCATGTTTAAGATCAAGAGATTATTTCGCTCTTTACAGAAAGAAGTGATATATATTAAACAAACTGAATCTCTATACATCGATCATTCTTTTTTTGCTTGGAAGAAAGGTGGCTCAGATGTCCTTCTCTTCCTTGGCTTTGTGATTTTTCCAGTGCGTGAGTGTGGTTGACACAGAGGTTATCACCAACCACTGTACATGTCCCACAGTCCCAGTGAATAAGTCTTATGAATATAATCATTAGCATGGAACGTTAAATTGACTAAAAAACAACCTGTTCATCGGCAAATGGGATCTCTTTGATTGCCCTGGTCATCCACACCAACGGTTTGATCTTTGAATTCAGTAGCTGAATAAGACAGTTACGTGGCCCCCAATATATCCTCGGAACATAGGTTTCGGAATGACAATGGTCTTTCCTATCCCTCATATTCTCTAGCTTTTTTGGTGGAAGATACATTTCATAACTTAACGTGGGCATAATAAGTCAAATTTCATTTACAAGCATGCGACTTGTTTATAGGTTTTTGAGGAAAACTTTTTACGAGAAGAATTTTCAACCAAAAAAAAGGGTTACTTACGAAGGAGGAAAATAAATGCCATGCTGACATTTCTTTCGATTAACCAGTAATGGTAAATATTTATGTAATTAACAAGTTGAGGCTATTATCCACCATATTATTCAAACTATAGCTAAAGCACAGGTAAAATTAACTAATTAATTGACTTTGTTTACACTCCAAATCAAACATGAACCGACAGTAGGTAACTCTCTCTCTCTCTCTCTTGTCATATCTGAGACATCTGATTACCTAATCAACCAGACACCACTACTCTAACTATAAGCTATTGGCCTATATAAACACCCTCCACCGGGTCTAATGATCATATAATTCCAGAAAGAGAAGCAAAGTTTTGAGTTTCACCAATAGTACCTAGCTCCTATCTCCATCCATCTTTCTATCAATAGTAGCAAATTTAACTTCACTTTTGGTACGTAAAGCATGGGTGCTCCAGTCCCTGCATCACCAGAAATTCTTCTGACAATTCTACTCTTTGCTATGAGTTGCCTCTGGGCCTTTCCTGACGTTGCCGGTGCAAAGCATGCAGGCATCACGAGGCACTACAAGTTCAACGTACGTACATATATAAATACACTTTGCGCAT